TCATTTGCTTTGTTTCTTAAATTCCACGTGTAAGTGAAATCATACAGTATTTCTCTTATTTTGCTTAGCATTATACTCTGAAGCTCTATCCATGTCGCTGCAAATGGCAAGATTTCATTCTTTAAGGCTGAATAACATTCGTGTATGTGTTTGTGTGTGTGTGTCTTGGGTATTGTAAACAATATGGTTGTAAACAAAGGGTTGCTGGTATCTCTTTAATTAGTGTTCTCATATTCTTTGGGAAAATACCCAGTAGTGCTGCTGCTAGATCATAAGGTAATTATATTTTTAACTTTTTGAGGAACCTCCATACTGTTTTCCACAGTCTACATCCCCATCAGCAGTGCAGGAGGGTTCCCCTTTCTCCACACCCTCGCCAACACCTGTTATTTCTTGTGTTGTTGACTTTAGCCATTCTGCCAGGTGTGTAAGCAGCATTCATTTCTAGCTGAAGTTGTAAGAACTAAATTTCAAATTATGACATTCCACAAATTATTAATTCCATTAAATGCATTCTTCAGATTTCATCAGGAAGTTATGCCAAATTCCTTCAAATTTTCATTAAAAAAAAAAAAAAAATCAAGGGGCGCCTGGGCGGCTTAGTCGGTTAAGCGTCCGACTTTCGCTTAGGTCACGATCTCGCGGTTCGTGGGTTCGAGCCCCGCGTCGGGCTCTGTGCTGACTGCCAGCTCAGAGCCTGGAGCCTGTTTCAGTCTGTGACTCCCTCTCTCTCTGACCCTCCCCTGCTCACGCTGTCTCTCTCTCTCTCCTAGAAAAAAACAAAACAACAAAAAAAAAAACATTAAAAAAAAAAAAATCAAATATATGCAAGGTCCCAGAAAGAAAACAGAATCAAAATTACAGGAGCTGAATATTGGCAGAACACTCCTCTCACCTTGCATGTGAGGAGCTCTGCTGGAGAAACGCTTCTGGAATATTCCCCCACTTTTCACTCTCTTCCCCGAGGAAGGGGAGATTTCCTAGCGGGCTACTCTGAGAGCAGGTACTAGACAGGCCCGGTCATCTCCTTCACCCCTCCCGAGGGTCTGCCGATACAGACAGAAGTCCCCAATCTGCTGCGTTCCTGCACTTCAGTCTCAAAGGAGGGCCCACTCAGAAATGAGCGTCTGGCAGCACAGCTGGCTCATTACCTCGACAAGAGAACTTTCAGTGGTACCCTGGGCGACGGAAGCCCGACCGGTGGGCTAAAGCGTGTAGTACGAGAGAGAAGGAAGTGCAGGCACCGAGCACAAACTCTGCTGTGCTGAGAAGGAAGCGGGTGGGCGGGATGGGGCCTGGAGGTCAGGGGAGGTTTTCTGCTTTGTGGTTAATGTTTTATGTTAGGGTGCTGACAGAAATGATTGTTGGAAAAGAAGACTGAAAGAAGACAGAAAAACGACCACAGGAGTTTGGGAACATCGGCAGCAGTGAAGTGCCTGAGGAAAGGGATGGAAGGAATCTGCATCCTAAGTGCAGAAGCTGCACTTTCTTAGAAGCAAAAATATTTATTCTATTTTAAGGAGGGAATTCAGAGAAATAGTACATAGATGATCAAGACAGATTTCATGAAAAAGCAGGAACTGCTATATTAATAACTAATAAAGTAGACTTCAGAGCAAAGAAAATTACTAGACATAAAGGGAAATTAGAGAAAAAGGATCAATCGACCAGGAAGACATATGATCCTAAGTGTGTTCATACCTACCAGAATCTCAAAATGCAAAAAGCAAAACTAATGCAGGTGAAAGGAGAAACTGACGAACCCACAAACTTCAACAGTGCCCTCTCAGCAACAGATGAACTTACAGACAGAAAATCGGCACGGATACAGAAGCTCTGAACAACACACAATCTAACTCATGTAAACGGAAAACTCCACCCAACAACAGCAGAATATACATTATTTCCAAGGGCCTGGGGAACACTCATCAAGACAGATCCTGGGCCATAAAACAAACCTCAACCAATGGAAAAAACCTGAAATCATACAGTGCGTGTTCTCTGACAATGATGGAAAGAAACTAGAAATCAGTAACAAAAAGACAACAGGAAAACATAAGGAAGTTCCTGTGAAATTTTTTTTCTCAATGACACATGAAACAAGGCAGAAAGAGGGGAGAGAGAAGAGAAATTTATCCACTGAACCAACAATCATTGAGTCCCTGCTATGGGCTATATAGTTTTCAACACTGAGACTAAAGGAATGAACTCAACAGAAAACAAAGTCTGTTCTCACGACCCTTAAATCAATATAAAATGTCAGCTGTGGTCAGTGTGAAGGATAAACAGGGTTGGGGCGCGGGGACTCGGTTGATCATCTGACTCTTGATTTTGGCTCAGGTCATGACCTCAACGTTGCTCGCTCACATACACGCTCTCTCTCAAAAAAAAAAATGAACATTTAAAAAAGGAATAAACAAGGTAAAAGAATAAAGATTAACAGTCAACAAGGTAAAAAATGAATTATTTTATTTTAAATTGTAGTCAAAATGCTTTGTCTTTAAATCAAGGGTTCAGTGGGGTGCCTGGCTGGCTCGTTCAGAAGAGCATGCAACTCTCAGGTGCATGAATACGAGCCCACGTTACCATGTTAGGTGTGGAGATTACTTAAATAAATAAAACTTAAAAAATAAATCAAGGGTTCATTATAAGTTTTCTATTCACACCATCTGGCCCACTAGAACTCCATCCCTAGAATCTGTTAAAATATCTTTTGCAACTTTATTTTCTTGGAAGACCCTGCAGGAAACGTCTTTTCCCTGCTACTCACAAAATGCGGGAATGGTTAGCTGTTTTTTAGAGCTGTAATTCTAGTGAATTAAGATTTTAAAGTAAGGGACCTCTGGGTGGCTCAGTCGGCTGAGTGTCCGACTCTTGATTTTGGCCCCGGCCATGATCTCACGGTTGGTGAGGTGGAGCTCCACGTTGGGCTCTATGCTGCCTGCTTGGGATTCTCTCTCTCCCTCTCTCTGTCCTTCCCCTGCTCGTATGCGCACTCTCTCAAATAAACACTTTAGACAAAAAAATGAATGAATAAATTTTAAAGCAGCACTTAAGTACTACTTGGGGTGACTTGTGACTTCAGAGATCTGCCTCCACACAATGGCTCCGAGTAGAATCCAGCAAGTACTGCAGCCTAAAGTGCAAAGGGAGAAAGCTGTATCCAAACGAATTAAGCACTGGCCACAGAGCGCCCAAGGACTTTTGAAAAAAAGAGGCGCCCTTGCTGGCGTTGTTGACACAAAGGAAAAAGAATAAAGTAGCACTTACTGCCCAGCTCCCTAGCCCCCCACCCCTTCCTACTCCACAAAGCGAAGTGACGGAGCCTGGTGACCCGCTTCCGGTCTCCGTACAGACGTGGCAGGCCTCCCAGTTTTTGGAGACTAGGCTTGTTCTGACTGCAAAAGTCATCTGAGTTCGACCTTGGTTTCAAATGATCGTTTCTGGGGCGCCTGGGCGGCTCGCTGGGTGAAGCGTCTGACTCGATTTCAGTTCAGGTCATGATCTCACAGTTTGCGAGATGGAGCCCCAACTCGGGCTCTGTGCTGACAGCACCGAGTCAGCTTGGGATTCTTCCTCTCCCTCCCTCCCCGCCCCTCCCCTGCTTGTGGTCCCGCTGTCTCTTAAATAAACAAAATTTAAAAATAAAATAAGGCTGTAACTGTAGTGGTTCTTATACAAGCAGTGGCTGGTACTCTTAAGGAGCAGGGATCAGCACGGGCGCCTCGGTGGCTCAGTCGGTTGAGCGACCGACTTCAGCTCAGATCATGATCTCAGGGTCGGTGGGTTCGAGCCCCACATTGGGCTGTGTGCTGACAGCTCAGAGCCTGGAGCTGCTTCAGATTCTGTGTCTCCCTCTCTCTCTGCCCCTCCGCTGCTCACACTGTCTCTCAAAAATCATAAATGTAAAAAGAAAAAGAAAATTTAAAAAAGGAGCAGGGATCAGCAAACTATGGCCCAGAACGCCAAATCCAAAAGTTTCAAAATAAGTTTTTCTGGGACACAGCCAAGCTAATTTGTTTACGTCTCCATGGAAACCTTCACAGGAGACCTGCAGGGGGGAGTGGCTCTAACCGAGACCCCCACTGGCCTGCAAAGCCTAAATACCACGGGGGCCTTCACCTAGGGTACTGCTTCTCTCCCTCGCCGTGCAAAAGATCCTTCGTGAGCCACGCCCGCCTCCTTCTCAGGGCTCCCTTCCCGGCCCGCTTCTCCGCGGTAGCTACACAGCTACCCGCAGGTCCCCCCAAATAAGCCGGGCTCGCGCTTAACCGAAGGCACCAGCCACGTCACCGCTACCCTCCGCTCTGAGTGCCACCCCCGCCTGCCAAACCGACTGCACACGGTGCCTACAGCCGCGGTCATCCCCTGGCCCTGGCTGCCCTTCCGCCGGACAGCACGCCGACTGCACACCCTGCAGCGGTGCTCGGGTCGGTCCTTCGCGCCGGCTCGGCAACGGCAGAGGTGGGTTCCCTGGTTTCCTCCTCCGATGCCCTGACCAGTGGATGGCACACATGAGCACGTGATGTCGTCGGTGCAATTCCGCGCACGTTCCTGCCGGGCATCACATGGCTGGAACTGCATGCTACGTGGGGCAGCGAGGGCTGGAAGCCAGAGGCAGAGACGCACAGACTGGGGGTGGGGGAGGCGGGTGAAGCAACCTCCTGAAATGCCGCCCGTCCTAGAGAAACGCCCGTAACTGCTCCAGGTGGCGACCCTCCTAGCCTCCCCTGCCCGGCTCGCCAGCGCCCGGCGCCCCGCGCAGGGAACAGGCGCGGCCAGTGGTCCCGGCGAGCGGAGACCAAGAATTCACACCCACCGGCGCCCGGGGACTCCCAGGTCCAGGGGGCCCGCTCCAGGGGCGAGGGTGGGAGGGGGCGGCACCAGGGCGGGAATCTAGCGCCCCCCGGGCCGGGCCGCCCGCCCCGCCTCCCTCGCCTGCCCGCCCGCCCGCGGCCCCGTTTCCCGTCTCTCCCGTTTGCCGCCCCGCTGCCTCTCACCTGCGTCCCAGACTCAGCCCTGTGGAAGTCGCTACACATGGCCCCGAAAGCTCGGCGCACCAGACACTCAACTTTCCCGCCACCAGCGCCATTTACCGCACGCGGCTGCGGCCCCGCAGCCAGTCAGCCGCGCTGACCCCGCTGACCCGGGCGGGGGCATGCGCACTGCGGCTAGCCCGGCACCCGGGAGGCGGTGGGCATGCGCACTAAGGCTTACGGGCGTCCCTTGCGCAGGTGACGTCAGACCGCGTCTCCTAGGAGACCGGGAGACAGCTGGTGATTTTTTCTTATAAACTTCAGTTCGTCTTTAGTAGGTAAAACTAGCAGCATGTTCTCTTCCTTCCTTCCTTCCTTCCTTCCTTCCTTCCTTCCTTCCTTCCTTCCTTCCTTCCTTCCTTCCTTCCTTCCTTCCTTCCTTCCTTCCTTCCTNCTCCCCCCCTCCCCTCCCCTCCCCTCCCCTCCCCTCCCCTCCCTTCCCTTCCCTTCCTTTCTTTACTTCCTTCCTCCTCTCTCTCTCTCTCTCTCTCTCTCTCTCTCTCTCGTTCCCATAAACAAAGCAGTTACTGAGCAGGCAGGGCTTTTTGTCCATTTGTGGGTTAAAAGCCTCCAGCTGGCTTTACATGTGATTCATGGTTAATTCTGAAAAAAGTACACTAAGTTTGAAAGAATCTATGTAATTAAGTAATTATGAATAATAGTAATTACAGTTAACGGTTACAATACTTAGTATGTGTCCTAAGTGCTTTATATGTAATAATTAGTTTAACACGCACAGTCCTATGAGGTAGTTACTATTTTCCCCATATTTCACAGATGAGGAAACTGAGGCACAATTTTGGTCCTCATTACTTTGGTGACCAGATTGTACTGAGTCAACACATTAGTGAGAAATAGGAAAGGAAGAATGCAAACTGTTCTTCAAAGAAACTTGGTTGTGGGGCGCCTAGGTGGCTCAGTTGGTTAAGCGTCTGATCATAATCAGGTCATGATCTCAGGTTCATGAGTTTGAGCCCCGCGTCAGGCTCTGTGCTGACAGCTCAGAGCCTGGAGCCTATTTCAGATTCTGTGTCTCCCTCTCTCTCTACCCCTCCCCCACACTCACTCTCTCTCTCTAAAAAATAAAATTAAAAAATTAAAAACTTTTTTAAATAAATAAAGAAACTTGGTTGTGAAGGAAGAAGATAAACATAGTAACAAGAAAAAAATCAAGGAAGAGTCTTTAAGAAAGCAAAGCCTGCTGCTCGTTTCAATGCTGACAGGAAATGGGATGTCTGGGTGGCTCAGTTGGTTAATTGCCTGACTTCAGACTCCAGCTCAGGTCATGATCCCAGGGTGGTGGGATTGAGCCCCACGTCAGGCCCTGTGCTAAGTGTGAAGGCTGCTTGGGATTCTCTCCCCCCTCTCGCTGCCCCTCCTCCACTCTCTCCCTCTAAAATAAAAATTAAAAATAAAAAAAATGTATATGCTGACAGGAAGGAGCTGTAGATTAAGGACACCATCAGAGAAAGAATACTCTTTCACTATGAGTGGAGACTATGGTAAAATATGGGTGCAGATGCAGCTATATTCTGGGGTGGGAAGCTCAAAGAGGTTGAGGAAGGTCACACCTGAGGACTTATGTTTTTTCTCTGAAGTAGAAAGGAAGGTGGTAGAAATCCAAGACTCTATCTAGTTGAATTCCTCTTGAGAAAATCAAAGTGTGCACCTAAGTTGACTGCCTGAATTAATGTTACCATCTACACACTCTCCTAAAAACCTTTCTCAGAAAACCTCGGTTCATGCTGAACACAGTAGTGGTGATTGACCTAAGTACTATACCACTGTAGACCATGGTGGTAATTATTTTAACCAGGAGAATTTTCCAGTAACACGTACTGTCTATAGTCACATTTTATACACAACATATATTAGTACTATTTTTTCGTTGCACAGAGCTTTTCTCCCTGAGTTACAATTTTTTTGAATTTCAAGATTAATTTTCTGAAATTATCATGGATTTTGATATCAGATACACCTAGATTTTTAAATCTGGTCTTATCACTTAATACCACTCTGGACCATAGTTATTGCTGTGATGTGATGATGAAAAACTGTACTTAAAACAGCTAGTGCAGCATCTAACACAAACTATCAATGCCCTTCCTACCTCCCTATCTTTCTTAGATCGTCACTTAACATAGTGCCAAAGATACCATAAATACTCAATATACATCCCCTGGTTAGCGTGATGGTGATGATTAGGACCAGATTAAGAGATGAACCTGGTCAGCAGATGTCGAGTGGCACATCATTAAGGCTGCTAAAACTTCTCTATGTCCTAAAATATCACAAGAATACAAGATGGAAAAAAACAAATTTTTAATTGTAATCTTTTCAAGTGGGATACTGTCTGTGGTTGGGAAGAGAAGACACTTGGGAACACGATAAAACAGGCACCATAAAAGACACACTTGGGTAACAGAAGAGTTACCACGTATAGGTTTAGTTAACGTGATAGCTGTCTGCTCCCCACCCGCTCCCACACAAAGAAGCAAGATTGTGAATTTCAAAAAATACGTAGACAAATATCAAAAACGCATCCTTTAGAAGATGTGCCAACTTATTTACTCCCTTGGGCAAGTCCACAAATCTTAATACAATTCTGATCATATTGATGATAGTGGTGCCTTGAACTATAATCCCCTTTTGAACTGGGGTCCTGGATTTCCTATCTTAGAAATGTGATGTCTAATTTTCCTAAGTCTGCAAGCTGTCCAAGACATCTGTGTAGTGAACACCTATGGAAGATAGAGATACAGTATCTCCCTCGGGAGCAAAGTCCTGCTTACTGCCCATTATAAAATATTTGGGTTCCCTGAGCTGAAATTTCCTCTCCTATAATGTGCACGTGTTACCTTACCCTCTTCACAATTTCTGTGCTTTACTGGGGTTTCTGTAACCGGAGTAAGGAGATGCTGGTATTCTGGCCCCTGGCTTGGACTCTTTTGTCTTTTATCAGCATCCGTGAAATTGTGGTAGACTAATTCATGCTCGCTGGAGGAGTAAACTCTCAGGCTCTTTGCAGTTCTTGGGACCCACACTAAACAACCTGTAACAGGATATATTAAAGGTTTTGAGTGAGGAAAGCAGAAGCTCAGAAAAGCAAGAATATAATTGTAATTGAGAAAGGCAGGAAGACTATATTTCAAACTAGAGGCAAGATTCAGCCAAAATAAATGAACATGACTTTCATTCTGACCTACAAGTTTTTATGCCTTGTTAAACTTTCTTGATAAAGCTTTGGACCTAACCTCTAGGATTTGAGGAACTAGAAATTTAGTCCTGGTAATAGTAATACCCACTTTTGGGTTCTAAGAGGTAAGAATCTAGACCTAGCAGCATTGGGCGTTAACATCAAGATGAGAAACTGTTTTATGGAATGAAAACGTTTCATGCAAAGATATATTTTTCATGCATCCATTCTTTAAAAAGCCTAGGGAATATATTCTTATGAAATATATTCTTGTGAAATGCTAAAGTTGCTCATGGTATAAAATTAGAATGTTTTTGGTTGCAAGTTTTAGAACACCCAGCTCTTAATTGATTTAAGTAATAAATGAGATTTCTTGGGTCCCCCAGATAAAGTCCAGATGTAAGACAGGCTTTAAGACTAGTTACTGAGAGCTCAGTTTGGGAAACAAGTACCTAGTTCCTTTTTTTCTCTTGTCAGGTTCATATTCTCTACCTTGGACCTTATAGGGCTATGTGTCCACACCTGAAACATTAATCCGTTCAGGGAATAAAGTTGGGCTGGTTGGCTGGGGCCTGAGCCACATGCCCCCCACATAGGTCCAGGGTCAAAGGTGTATTAGTTCAGCGGCGCCTAGGGGGCTCAGTAGGTTAAGCATCCAACTTCGGCTCAGATCATGATCTCACGGTTCAAACCCTGCATCGGGCTCTGTGGTGACAGCTCGGAGCCTGGAGCCTGCTTCAGATTCTGTGTCTCCCTCTCTCTCTGCCCCTCCCCTACTCACACTCTGTATCTCTCTCTCAAAAATAAATAAACATTTAAAAAAATTTAAAGGCATATTCTTTCAATGTGTATGGGCTCTGTGTAAGGTGTGGATAAAGTAGATGGACAAAGACAACAACATCTGAGGAGTTAGAAGAAGTGGGAGTGGGTGCTGGGGAGGCACCCTCATCCCATTGTATCCTTCATAATGAGGACAAATATATACAAATCCACATATCTGGTCACGCCCCTCTTCCATTCCATTCACTTCTTGACAAAGTAAACCTTTCCTTATGTATAAGAAAATCAATATTTGAGAAAGAAGCCTTTACAATCCAATAGCTGCTCTGAGCTGGCTGGGTTTCTTGGTCTTCACACAGTTCCTAGTGAAGATTACATGTCAGCTGAACTGGTTCAGTTCATTAAGTGCACACCTGTTTGTATGGGCCATCATGCACAACATGGTTTTGAAATTTCCTCAGTTTTGTTTTTCATTTTTATTTTGGAGAGTGAGCACATGCACACACACACAAGCTGGGGAGGGGCAGCGGGAGAGGAGAGAATCCCAAGCAGTTGCCACACTAGCGTGGAGCCTGATGTGGGGCTCGATCCCACGACCATGACATCATGACCTGAGCCAAAATCAAGAGTCAGACATCCAACCAACTAAGCCACACAGGTGCCCCAAAATTACCTCAGTTCTAATGTTCTAGAGATATCACTTCTCTTTTAAAAGAATGTTCAAGATGCTCTCATAACTTGCTGGTAGAAATGCAAATATGTACAGTCTTTTTGGAGGGGAATTTTCCAGTATGTAAAAATTTTTATTAACTTTTTGATACAGCAATCCTTCTTCTAGGAATTTTTCCTTAAGTCATAACTCCAATTCCATTCCTAGGTATATACCCATTATATCCCATTTGTTTTTTGCTTTTTGTTTTTAAGTTTTTAAATGCTCATTTATTTTTGAGACAGAGAGAGAGAGAGAGGGAGTGGAATAGGGGCAGAGAGAGGGGGGGACACAGAACACGAAGAAGGCTCCAGGCTCTGAGCTGTCAGCACAGAGCCCAACATGGGATAGAACTCATGAACTTCGAGATCATGACCTGAACTGAAGTCAGACACTCAACCAGCTGAGCCATCCAGGTGCCCAAATTTCAAAAGATTTTAAATATGGAGATTTAAAATCCATAATCA